TTTCTGACCGACTGCAAAATGGCTTTCTTGTCCATCTGGTCTCTCGACACTTTTTTCAATCTCTTGATCCAACGGCTGCAGCTTTCCTTCAATTAACAGCTTGTGTCGTTTCACTAGACCTTTCTGAAGAATGTTTTCTGAATTTTGTTCACTCTGTTCGTCTTTTTTGTCCTCTAGCAATTCAGACGTTACTGCTTGCTGTATAGTAATCTCTGAAGGCTCTGTGCCATCTTGTGAAATAGTACGATTTTCCTGCTCCGTATAGGCGTCCGCGCTCCTTGTTTTCCCCTTTGATACAGATAAACCTACTTCTTGATTGACTTCTCTGGCCTGCTGGTCGCCAGTTCCTTTCTCTAACTCCTCTTGGCCCAAAGGTTGTAGCTTCCCTTCAATAACGGATTCTACGCTAGCACTCACATTGTGCGCAACAGACGGCTTCAATACAACCGGTTGCCTGCTCTCCAATGTTCCTGTTAACTGCGAATCGTTTGACGGTAAATCCCGCGAGTCTTCCTCAAGTACAAAGACACGAGTGTTTCGTTTGATTTTCCCAGTAAAAGACTCTTCACTGATTTGTTCAGAATCTACCTCATTAGACACAGTGCTCTTATCTTTCGGCAAGGTTCCGTCTTCGTCATTAACCAGAGCGTTCTTCATTCGTTCCCCTGCTTTTTCAACATATGCTCGCAGATCTTGTTCTTTCTTCGAAGCAGATATTCTCCGAATATTTACTTCCTTCTTCATATCCTCGTTAACCCTTTTAACAAGCGCTACGACGTTAACACCTCTAAGCTCGTCTCCCAATTCTCCTGCGGTTTGCACTGACTCTGAATCAGCATCAACAGCAAGAGAGCCTTCGACTTCGTCTCCTTCTTGTTTCGCGCTTTTCCTTTCATCACTACCGCCTCGCTGAAGCAACGCCCGCCTTTTCAAACTCTCCCGATGCTTCAGTTCGTAACCTTCTTTGTGCTTCTTTACAACGCCCGGTTCGGGTTCTTCGTTTGGCATACTCTCGTCTTGTTCCTCTTCGGGGATCTTATCGCCTTCTGCAGGCGCACACTCAACACGTACTTCTTCCGTCGACGTCAAAGCAGCATTACCCTCAAGCTCTGGCACATCATCAACACCTTCAAACTTTCTCGAATACCGTTTGACAAATCCGCTTTCAAGTACACCATGCAAGTCGCTCGGTAGGAGACCTTCAAAAGTGTTCTTTACGTCCTGCAAATCGCTCGTCTCTGGTTCATCCAAGCCCAGAATTTGCTTCTTTTTGCGCTCGAAGTCCTTGAGATTTTCGTCGCTTGCGGACCTAGCTTTCGAGTGCAATTCTTGTAATTTCCTTGTTCCACGCTCTCGTAAAGAGCATGACCTACGAAAGTTTCCGATAGATTCCTCATCCTTTCCTTTCTTCTTTTGGTCATCATTTGCCAGAGTAGGATCTGAACTAACTCTTTGTAGCGAAGTCTTGATAGGGATTTCCGAAGCGTGAGAACTGGGTGGTACATAGTTAGGCCCCTCAAGGGCCTCTTTACTGGATTCAGCGGTCGACTCTGGGTCCGGACCAATTGGTGAACTCGTCGAGGGCACACGTTCCGTCTCGTTCCTTTCCAGCGAAGTGCCCTCGACGAGCTCACCTGTACTGTCCAAAGTCGCCCGAAGTACGCCGAGTTCTTTGATACTGACGTCGGGAGACTCCTTGAGTTTTAAAGAGGACTCAGTTTCTATCGGTACATTATCAACAGTGTCCACGCTTTCTACATGAAGAGCCATCTGGGGATGCTTGTCATTCTCGTCAGCAGAGTTACTAGATTTTTCTTTCCGCTTCTTTACAGCTGCGGCGCTGTTTGACACCTCTACATCGGCCCAATGGTCACGCCGTTTGCTGAAACAACCACCCAAAAAAAAAAAAAACAATCAATAAAAACTCTTGTCCATAAACTACAGGATCTTTCAGGGTTAGACCACTACCTTGCGGAATAATACTCGACAAAAAACCCTTAAGACAATTAACAGGAAGTCTAGATGCTAGATTGCAAAAATCTCGTTGCTGTGGGTCGCTTCGAGAGTCGGGAGTGATGACAATTGAATGGCTGTATTGGCAGACAAGCTGGTGTAGCCTGTAGGACTTCCTACAAAAACGATTTGCTTCACTACCAAACTAAGTTTAGTGGCGTTTTGGTTAACGTACTTGTCAGTCTAAAGCGAGTTCTCCTGTGGTTGGGTTAATTTTTAATTAGGCCAGTTACCTCGAAATCAAAATTCCTTCATACGTAATAAGCTGCTTCCAAAATCCTGCGTTCGGCTGCACAACACTTCTTCGTGCTTTGACGTACTTCATCGTATCACCTAACGACCAGCCATACTCCTTCATGCCATACGCTATCACCTGATACAAAATGAGAAATGAAACTCAGTAAGCTAAGAACTGCACGGATTCGTTCATTCGCTACCTAGTTCCCTCGCTTGTTTGCACACTCACCTGGTCCGTCAATTAAAAATCTGTACATAAAACTTAAGGACGTTCGCGCTAATTGTTTCTGCGCATCCTTACTACGCACGCAAAATCAAAAGCCACGTCATGCATCGATGTGCGTGCTAAGTAATAAAATGAACAATGATTGGGCAGAAGGCCATTGCTATAGCTTTGCCTGGATTTATTTCGAAACAAGTAATTCATTGTCTGTCCGCAGTAGAAATTTGAAGAAAATCTATCGAGAAGAACATTTTCGCGCGAACGTCCTCAAGGGAGCTCAGTCACGGTATTTCGAGTTATTTTAGCCGCGTACAAAATTACCTTTAACTTGAAGGCAACCTGCAAATAACAGTTTACTATGATAGAAAAACACCAAAGAGATAATAATAAACATTAAAGGAACAAGGATGGTTAAGGATTGAGAAGATTAACACGGATTACACTTGACGGACTTGAACAATTCAGGCTAAACTTTTCAAGATGAACATAATTAATGGCATATTTACCGTTGATGCCGATCTGCTGATGCCCATCCTACAATGGACGAGAACTTTTGAGCCTGCATTCCTAAACAAGAAAAGTAAAAAGAGATTGACTGACGACTGGACCGATATTTTTATTCTTTGGATTTCCGCTTCCAGAGCTCTCTATGTGGCACAAAAACACTGGTTCAACATGCAATAACCAATCAGCGCAAACAAAAGCAAACCGGAGACCAATCGTTCTATAGCTTAATGCGCGTTTTCCCGCGCTTGGCAAAGTTCGAGGGTTTCCCGCGCTAACCACTGGACGAATGTTTTCCTGCGCTTGGCACAGCCTCCAACTTTTCCCGCGCTTGGCTCTGATCGCTATAGCCGGACTCCTTGATGTGATTGGTTCATTACATTACTTGTATGTTTGTTGTGATTGGCCAGATTATATTTAAATATGCAGTTGGTTTTGATTAAATTACAAAACCGCTCTTAGAAATCTCTTAACATTAGTGCATTGCATGGCAATACCTCCTGGCTAACAGGTGCGAAAAGCTGTACATGTAGTTAGAGTTTCTTTACTTAATCATTTCTTACTTAGCTCTCTGTATGAATCTGTAAGTGTTATCCCAGTGGTGAAGTAATTCGGTCTCATCCAAGTCATAAACTCTGAGGAAAAAAGTAACAACATTAAGTCACAAAATATGATATCGAAGTGTCTGCCTTCGTAGTACAAAGTGTTTGCGATCAAGAAAACTAAACACACACAAACCTGATATTGTGATAATGAAATGTTCCTGGGAAAAAGTTGTCGATTTCTCTTGTGATGTTCAAAATATACCCAACTCTAGATAATAGAAAAAGAGAGAACAAATAAGTAACATGTCAAAAGAAAACCTCATGTATGCATTCATGTACCTGCAATAAAGTCAGACCTCCAAATGTGGAGATCCACTTTATCAAGCCAACATGAGTTGCTTACAAAAGGTGGTTTCATTAATACTGTGACAGTTATTTGGATGGACAATGTAAATGTTAGTCACTAAAAGATACTCGTTGCTTCATCAAAAAATTTTCCCTCCTCACAGCTGACAAAAAAAAGTTTACCCACCCATTTTCCTTGAGTTCCTCCAAGTTTGAGGCATTCCATTCAGAACCCTGCAACAATAAAACTATGTTTTTAAAACAGTGATCTTCAAATAATGGTTTGAAAGGAATAATAACACAGAGACAAGCTTTACTTGTAAGAGCAAAGCAAAGGCACCTCAGATGAACTAGCTTTATGTCTACGAGCTGCAATCTTCAGATTACATAGCTGAAATACTATCTGGGATGAATACAGGATTTTAGAAAAGGGGGTGACAAAGGCGGTCTCCCTTGTAGGGGGGTCCAGGGCATCCTCCCCTGTAAAATGTTTAAAATCGAGGTACCTGGAAATGGGATTTCCAGCATTCTGAGGCCAAGTCAACATGTTATACTATAAAAATGTCTCATTTTTTTTAATTTAGGGAGTTCAACCAAACCCCCTGAAACGTCCCTAGATCAGCCCCAGACCATCTAGAATTTCCAGCAAAACACAGACTCAGAGAACACTTTTTCACATTGACAAAAATGTGTGCATTTTTATATAACAAGACAATTTATTGTTACCAATATAAATGCAAAATAACTTGGAAAGAGACTTCTCATTCATGTTTGATTTGATAAAGATGAAATATTCATTGTAAGCATGATTTGAGTCACGAAGATCGATTTTACTTACAAGGTAAACATGGTCAAATATTTTGGATGCAGAGTCCATTTGTCCCATAATCACTATCATCTCTTTATCAATAAATGACCTGTACTCCTTCAGCTCCATTTGCGTGTCTGCTTCAAGCATGGTTCGTAACTAAAAAGCACAACATATGCATGAATTATGCCAGGTAAGTCACCAGAGTCAACATTGGAAAATACCAAGGTCCACAACTAGCTTAAATAATAAAATGGTCACAGAACAGGGCTTGACATTCAGGAAAAAGCCTTGGGGTCAACTGGCCCCTAAGTTTTCAGATTTAGTCACCAGCAAAAGTATTTCAGTGAAAAGCATGGAAACTTAGACGCAAATGAAAAAAAATTGATCGCAGCATTGAACTTCGCAGAAGAAAGCTGTGTATCAGAAGCTGTAATAAATATATGATCTTCCAAAAAAGGTAGACCTCTAAGATTTTAACAAGTGTAACTCTTACTTATACTTTATTCTGTATCACACTGAAGTTTCTTTTGATACTAACCAATGCGTACAAATTAACTTGAACTACAATGGGACAAGTGATGGACTCACTGTCATCTGCCACTCCCTTGAGCAAAATACCCAGGGGTATGAACAACAGCTGCCAGTGAAATATTGCAAACAGACAAAAGTAGAGACATATAGAGACCATGGTCCGACTAGCATCCCATCAAAGTGCAGTCAAAAATCTGTTATTACTTCCTGCTACAGGGACAGAAGTTCTCTGCTTGCCTGAAAACCTGCTTATTAAGAAAGATTGACTTTTGAAGGTGAAACTAGAAAACCCTTTCAGTAAGCTCTGTGGATATTTCTCTACATTACCTGTCTACTGGTGACTTCTTCAAGATCGACTCTCATCATCACCTGCAACAGAAAACAGAGTTTATAATTCCAACATTTGCAGACCAAAAATACATAAATAAAAACTGACAATAGGCAGAACTAAAGATTAGCACTAACCTCTCTAAGCTTGTGGCGAATAAGCTTCATGATCAGTTCTTTTTCTTTGCTACAAACAAAATCAGATTATCATTAATATAATAAATTTAATAATTACCACAATATCTAGTAGCAATACAAAGTAAGATAAGTGTTTGAAATTCATATTGTATCAACAAATTCATATTGTATCAACAAATTCATATTGTATCAACAAGAAATGTTTTGGATGAAACATCATCCATTGTCAGTTTACAAGAATACCAATAGAAAATGATCAATAAATAGTTAAATACTGTGTGATGAAAATAAGAATTAAGGATTAAGGCACCAATCAGAAAAAAGTGAAAATATACATGTAACACAAACTAGAGATAACACAAACTAATTAGCATGAAAGGGATAGTAAATTTAGATGCTTAACTTGGGAATTAAAAGAAGGCTAGCAGTAAATTTATCTAAAAGCAATATTATTTTGTCACCCAGAGGCTTACATGTAATTCTCTAATTTTTTTTTTCAAAACAGAACTCAATTGCTGTACCTGGTGCCAATGGGAGATTCAGGACGTTTTGACTCAATGTCATCCATTTGCTCCCTATATTATGAAAATAGACACAATCTTGTTCAAAATTGTGAACTGTTCATACATGCACTGTATGTGCAGAAACATAACTTGTGTATCTGTAGTGTCCTATCAGCATTTTGTGATTTACATCAGTTCTACTGCAAGTAAACCTGTTCATAAATTGGTAAAGAACATAACCCAAGGAACTACATGTAGTATTTGTGTCAACTCAGGATTATAACTCCCTGACTGTCAGAACCAAAGTCCAGCTCAGTATGAAACTCTGACAAGTACTACTGTAGACAGTAGACAGTAGACACACATCTCAGATATCTCCCACAGGAGGAAGCCTCTTGTAAGACTTCTTCAATGTCCTAGCCTCTTACAAGCACTAAATGTACTGCTTTGACCTCCTATTACTGGACATCCCTTGTAAGCAGACATTTGTTTCTTACCCCAAGTCCATTCAAGGGAGGTTTGATTGTACTTGACAGATAATTAATTACAAATCATTACATCTACATGACACGAGTACTGATAAATTACTAAAGATATGTCCATAATATACTACATTAAATTCTTCTTTCCAAGAAGGAACTTACCATTCATTTATACGAAGTCTGTCTGAGGAAATTTTCCTGTAATAATACTCAACCCAAGCATGTGAGGACTCATTCAGATAGTAATAGTTGTGTTTCCTGGCATTCTCACTACACTTGTGAATCCACTGTAGGGCAGTCCTAGGCAAGGAAATTGACAAAACACTTCTTTCAAACACAAGTCACTAAATTTACACATTTGCATACATGTACAACAGTACTGAATACATGTGTGAGACTTCTGAATCTGAATGCGCATTCATTAGTTTATACACTCATAGAACAGTGTGCTCTTCACNCAATTAATTACTCACCCATCACCATCAAGATTAATGGTTGTGTCTCTATACAACGGAATTACCAGACCAATAGTGGCCCTGAAAAGCAAAAAAAATAATCATGTACCATCACACAAGAAAATCAAAATTAACTAAATAAATTACATTTTTGGATGATCAGTTTAAAAACTGATGATTATTTGTAATCATTTGCACTCATAGCATTGCAACCTCAACACTCCCAGCATAAAATCTCAAAGCAAGAATATCATATTTAAGTTTGTGGATGACACCCTTTTGGGGACTAAACCTATTAAAGCTCCAGTGTGTACCCTGCACAGTGCTGTGGACATGTAGGTGAAACTCATATAAGTGTTAATGTTTCTGTTCTGTTGTTTCTGATACTGGTCCTTAGGTGTGGGTAGGTATGAGACGATGAAGAGTTTTCAATCTCTGGGCATGAGGCTAGAGTCATCACATATAAAACCTGCCTCGCTTACTTGTCAGTCCAATCCACACCCATGACAATACTCTGTTCTTCTTCATCTTGACCAAATGCTGACACAATTGTTAGATAGCGAATTCTGTTTGGATACTGGCTTTCCAATTTAACAACCTACGGAAAGAAATGTTGAGACCAGCAAATAGACAATTAATAATTATTGTTTTAAAAATAATTTTGTTATTAACATTAAATTCATACTAACAGCACCTAATTTGTATTACATGTACATATCATAAAATAAGTAATATTTATCCCAAAATGTGTGTACAGTACAGAACAAAAATTGAACCAATCATAATCAGTCTTACGAGTCTAAGAACATCTTCATCCCGCAACAAGTTGACCATGGCCTGCAAATGTAATTGCATCTCCCCTGAAATAGAAATAAAGGTCATGCAAAAAATTGTATGAGTAACTGTTGTTAAAATCGTAATTATGCAATTTACAGTAATTGTTCTCACTTCATAACTGTTGAGTAATTGCAACAGTTTGATCAAAATAATATGGTTATGGCCAATTCAAACCAAAAGAACAATATTTTGCAAATACGTGTCAGGGCTGTTGTTAAATATTGGAGAATATAGTATAAAAGACTGCAATGGCCCAAATGGTGCATACCAGCAGAGCTTATATAATTATCATTTTCCATAGTATGAAGAGACTAGCTAGAAGTATGGTAACTCCGAGCATTTAATTCACCAATACCCATTTATACACTTGTTCTACAGCTGGAATATTTCCCCCACAGCATATGCTTTCACTGGCTACTCCAAGTTCACTTACGTTCCTGACTTCTGACAAATTATGAAATAATTTTGTTTCTCACCAAATACATGTGATAAGAGGGGAACATTGCACTGTTAACCTGGACTATTTAATTTTGTTTTCCCTGGTTACATTTTCCGATTATCTCGTTAAACATTACTTCTTTCTAGGTGTTTGTTTACAGACCAACATTTGCCAGTTAAATATGACATCTGTTTTCACTGGAAATCTAACCCAGAATTTAACCCGCAGACTCAGAAGATTCAAATTACAAAAGCACGCAACTTTAAAAAATGGCTGAGAGAGGAAGTGCTTTATGACTTCTTTTGTACTGATTCTAGCTATATTTATGCAAAAGAGAAGGCATTTCTTCAAGAGGATGCAATTAATGTCCCCAGAAAATTCATTTAAAGAGGAAGATGTGACGAAATGCTGTAATGCTGGAACAGCGATGCCATGTCATAGGTAGGGTTCTGGCCGAGGAACTGGCAGGAGAATCTAATGGGACCGTAGGAATGGTACACCAAAATAAATGAGAAGGACTGTTGAACTCATCTGCCATTTTAAAAGTTCTGTTTCGCAAACTGAACCGCAATGCGTGCGTCTAGAAAATAAAACTGCCAGGTTCTTTAGCAGGCGTCTGTCACTACACAGTACATGTATGTGATCGGCTGAGGCATTGACTAGGACAGGTTATACCATCTTGGAAGGTAGTATGACTTGGCGTGAATTTCCAGTCATATTGGTGAGATAACTGCTTGTTTTTTATGGTGAAAACAGAGTGCTTAACTCAAGATGAACTGTTTTCACTGCATTTCCAGACTTTTCCGACTTTATCTAGCCAAAATTGTCCTAGTGAAAGCACAACCCTTAAATTTTGGCTTCACCTCAGGAAGCATTCACTATTTTAGAGATCAATTAAACTGATTTCTTAACATATTTTACCACGTAAAAACACTTAATAACATCCAACAAACAAGACATATTTGACCAAAACTGAACAACATGTTAAGTATATAGCTGAAGTTTACTAGTGGAAAGTAACATGCGCTCTCACTGGCTGATTTATGGTCATGGGGCAAGTGCTAAATCTAAATGTCGCCTGGTAAGCAACAATAATATTATTAAGCAATTGCCACCTGCTCCTCCATTAACCAGAGGTAATATTTTGACTTAGGGTAGTCCTTCTGGTGTTATTACAGTGGAAACCCATTAATACGGACACCAAAGGAACATGATAAAGTGTCTGCATTATCTGGGTGTCTGTATGAAGCAGGCTAATTTAAGAGAAAATATATGAGCTTTTTAGTTGTCGGGACAATGAAAACTGTCCGTTAGAAGCAGGCGTCCGTATTAAGCGGGTGTCCATAGAGCCGGGTTTCACTGTACTTTACAAGTTATAAAACTCAAGAAACACTTATTAATTAAGTTGGGAAAACGTGTACTCAGTTTTGTCTTCCCTTGACTCTTGATGCTTCCCTCAACTTCCTGGAAAAACAAACTGTTTCCTCCAGGACCAGTAATTAAGTGTATAATATAATGTAAGTCAGACAGTTTTGAAATCTCAAAGCTACTGTAACTGCTTGACTGCTTGATTAAAGGAAACTTCATTTGCATAAGAAGAGATTGTAATCCTTTTGATTCCTTACCTCCATGTTTGGTAGCCTGCCGAGCGAAGTCTCCATCGGGTAGTGCATATGCTGCTCCTTTGGATGCAAAGAACCCTTCAAAACTTGACCTGAAAAAAAAAGTAACAGGCATAATTATATAGTGCTAAACTTCGAAAAAACAGAGTATATCGAGACAATTTTAGAGCTTAAATATTTCTTTTCCCACCTGGATATGATAATCTGTATATTTTGTTTCATAATAATATTATTAACTGTCACTAGCAAAGTTACATGTTGATGCTGATGACTGTACTATTGTGAGTAACAAATTAGATCCAGCTATGAGAGGATTAGAAGTTTGAATGCAACTGCTGCAACAGTAATCAATTTCTTTTTTTATTTCAGACCGAATAATAATTATTATTTATTGTATGCATATTCACAATGTGTGCTTCAGAAATGTGAAACAATAGACTTTAACCAACACCAGGAAAGTAACAAACACATAAAATCTTAACAAGATCGGCAACATTAAAGAGCTTAAAACTTTTAGAAGAGTTCAGTTGTGACAATACTCTCTGCAGGGATCTAAAGCAACTTAGACCAGATACGTTTTGAAAACCCAATTTAAGATTGCATGACCAAAAAAAACAAAGGAAACCCTGAATGGAACAATGGATCAAAATAACCATTAGTAAATAAATCTGTTAAGTGCATGCCAAATTAATCCTTTCTAATTAAAAGCATTATCCAAAGCTTCCCATCTTATAAGGGGGGATTATTTAAGGGAAGGTGCTAAGTTCAGGGTGGGTCTTACATGTAAGAATACAATCCACACAAATTTCTAAGCGTCTAACAAAACTTGTTATTCCAGTGGCACGCACAACATTATATTAATATATGTAGGAAATAACCACTGGAAACCATTACTAAAACCATTTCTGTACCTACATGTGATAACAGACCATGCTTTCTACTGTTTCTGTCGTTTAACTACACAATTAACCACGAGGGATTTTATATCCGATTCCCCAACAACAAGATATCATGTGCTAAATAAAATGCAGGTGATTAACCACAGTTATTTACGCCTTCTTCCAACATTTCAAGTGGGGTTATTGTGCAGATAGAACATTGTAATAACACAAAGCATTGCATGGTCTGTTACCTTCACAAAATGAGTACAATTTCCATGTGGTGGGCCGTTAAAACAGTCCACAACATTTTGACCAATCAGAACATACATGTAGTATACTGATAAGCTAAATATATCGTCTTAGAAATGTGTATTAAATATCTGCCAGGAGGACAGCAGTTAAGTTTTTCTTCGCCAAAAATTGGAAATATGTGAATTCGCTCTTGTGCGACACGACCCTAAATGTAAATGAAAAAATGTGACAAAATATTCTGCAAGAAAACTTTCATTGAAATTTCCCCATAATACACTTATTGACACAAAAGAGACACTGATGCCAACATTGAACAAAACAATTTCCTTTGGCCAGAAAGTGACAAAATGGAATTCTTACATAGACTGACCACATCTGTATGCCCTCTATTTTTGGCAAATTATTTTGGTCTTTGGCTTTTAAATACCGACGCATTACAATCTTTATCTGGCTCTCAATCTCTCAACACTTTTGACCCCAGCAATTCAAGCTAATTCAAGACCATTCATTCAAAATAACTGACAATCTAAGAAAGTAACAAAAGCTCATTTCACAAAATACATTCCAAAGAAATAACGTCCAAAGTTGTGAGAAAAGCAAAACTCGAAGGGTGAACGAGACAAAACAAGAAGGAAAAATTATGCAACTGGCCTAGATAAGTTAAGTCACATCTAGATTTGGTTTTTATCAATCACTCTTCACCGACGAAACA